CACGAGACGTAACAGTATCCATAATTTAAAATGTTTTACCAGTTGATACTTTCTTGTAGTTCTGTCTTGTATTCCTTCAATAGGCTACTTTTGGAGAAGACCTAGCCTGGTGTGTCCCAGTCCTGTGTTTCTCCATTCACCCTGACATTTCAGGCGGTATGCCGTGGTATTGGCTGATTTTATCACGGCCAAGCCTATTGGCGTAACACTGAGTGCTATTTCAAGCGCCTCTGTGGGTGTGGTTCTCTTGGCCCCTACTGCAGCCCTTAGGTAGTTACCTTGCAGGCTTCTAAGTAGTTTCTCTACCTTCCCTTTATTTATTCTCGTCCACCAGACGACTGACGCGTATAGCAGCCGCGGTAGCAGGACTGCCCTGTACAGCCACAAAGCTGCACCAGCGCTGATGCCCCACGACTTGCTCATTGCCCTTCTGCACATCCACATGGATGCATAGAACTTTTTCCTTTGCTCTATGAGATGTTTTCCCCAGTTAAGCTTAGGATCTAGAATCAGTCCCAAGTATTTCACCGAGTCTGTAAACGGTATTTCCTTTCCCCAGAGTTTTAACGTCTCTATGGGTTCAGGTTTATATTTTCTGGTGAAGACCATAATATTTGTCTTGCTCGGATTAACCGTTAGACATCTGTTCTCACACCAGTTTTGCACAATTCTTAAGTTATCCTTTGCTTGGTCCCTTAGTGTGTTGAGAAATGGTCCTCTAACCACTATGGTTACGTCATCAGCATAGCCAAAGGTCGAGAAACCTTTCCTCTGTAGCTCCTTTAGCAGGTCGTCTATCACTAGACACCACAACAGAGGAGATAAAACTCCCCCCTGTGGGCAGCCTCTCGTTGGTTTTCCTCTGATGGAGATGTCTTGGCACTCCACCGTCAAGCATCTGTCCACTAGCATGTTTCCTATCCAGTCCACCAGTGGTTCTTGTACTCCATGTCTGATCAGTGCCTCTCCTACCACCTCGTGTAAAATGCTATCAAAAGCGCCCTCAATGTCCAGGAAGATTCCGATCGCATAGCCCTTTGCCTCCAGCTGACTCTCAACTTTGCCTATCAGGTGATGTAGAGCGGTTTCGGTAGACCTGCCCTCCCTGTAGGCGTACTGAGAGTCGGCTAGAGGTTGTTGTATTAGAGAGTTGGACTTGAGAAATCTGTCCACCAGTCTCTTTAAGGTCTTCAATACGAAGGACATAAGGCTAATTGGTCTATAGTCCTTTGCCCTGACGTGACCGTTCTTGCCAGGTTTAGGTATAAAAACCACCTTGGTTTTTCTCCACTTCTGGGGGACATGTCTAAGGGCAATACTTGCCCTGTAGATTTTTGTCATTGGGCCTAACAAGCTGCTCAGCCCTTTCTGCAGCAGGATCGGGTATATTCCATCAGGTCCTGGAGCCTTTAAAGGCTCGAAGGAACCGACCGCCTATTTCACTGCTTGTGGATAGACCACCTTAGCTGCCAGTCCCCATGCCCTTGATTTGTGCACGGTCATGGGTCTCTGCCTGTTGTTGTTGTCTGCTGAGTCCTCCCTAAAGCCTGGAAAATGGATTTCCATAAGGTGCCGTAGGGTCTCCTCCGCTGTGTACCCTCCATTGGGAAGCTTAAGGCAGCCCCATTGTGTTTGGTTTTCCTTGCAGAGTATTCTACTCAGTCTAGATGCTTCAGGAGCACTCTCTATACTTGAGCAAAAACTTCTCCATCCTTTCCTTTTAGCTTTTACTATGGCCTTTTTGTAAATTCTCTGAGATTTCCTGTACTCCTTCCAGGATCTCGGTGTATTTACATTTCTAGCCCTATTAAAGAGTCTTCTCCCCTCAGCCCTTAGCTTAGCCAGCTCTTTACTCCATTATGGTGCTTTGGCTGAAGGATTCTTTGACTCTAATGGGCAGTTCATCTCGTATGAGTATTTAATGGCATCATTCAAGTAGTCTGCCGCTGTTTCCAAATTTTGGTGTGGAATCTAGTGGGTGCTTCCTTGAGTCGACTCCTAAGGTCTTTCTCGTACCCCCTCCAATTTGTTTTCCTAGGATTTCTCTTCCATAACCCTTGGCTCTGTACTTGCTCCATGGTAAAACGGACCTGCCTGTGGTCTGATCCTGAGGGCTCATCAGAGACCCTCCATCCCCTCAACAGGTCCAGTATTCCGCCTGAGCATATGGTTATATCTATCACTTCCTGTCTTCTAGAGTTCAGGAAGGTAGGTTCTGTTCCTCTATTCAGGATGTGTAGCTCCATACCTACCACAAAGTTGAATAGGCTCTCACCCCTGGGATTTATGTCGATGCTCCCCCACACCAGGTGGTGCGAGTTGGCATCGCATCCCAGGAGTATTTCTAGCCCTTTCTGCCTTGCATAAGTCGTGAGTTTAATCATGTTTTCGTGTGGGGGCAGGTTTTCCAAATCGTAGGGCATGTACACTGACCCTATAATTAGATCCCTGACTATTCCACCGGTCGTCTTTATTTTCAGTCTGATGGCAACAAAGTCACCATCGCTAAATTGTGGCAGTAGACAGGCGTCTATTCCTTTTGCTTTAATGCACGCTCTCGGTCGGTCCGTGTTTCCGGCTCAGAATAGTTTTCCACAGCTGCCAAGTCCTTTTATATGTCCCTTGATGATCCATGGTTCTTGTATTAAAAATATATATTTACTTGTGTGCATCACAGCTGCGCACCTGGCTAGTACAGCCGAGGCGCTTTTGCTGTGATGCAAATTAATCTGTGTAAAGTGAATCCGGTCCGCCTTATTTATGCTGACGGGTCCGGTGATTTCTCCTTTGCGCCTTCCTTACTGCTTTCTCCAGCAGGCAACCTGATCGTTGCCTGCCCAAGTCCACAGTAGGGTTTAAAATTGAGAGCTCTTAACGCTCTCAAAGCCCCATCCCCAACAAGGGCAGCGAAGTGGGTGCTCGTGGCGTCCCTGCTTTCGCTACCCTTCGCGATCACCCAGTCCGGTGACTGGATGCCTACATTCTGCCTGTCAAGTAGCTCCAACGTTTCCTTGACAGGTATTGTGGGATCCTCTACGTGCACTACGATTCGATGTCTCTTAGGGAGCTCATCGACCCGCAGTGCACGCAGTTCGATCCCATTGATCTTGATTTCTGAGGTTAGGCTTCTAAGCCACTTCTCAGTTTCGCTGTTTGTGCAGTTAAAGACAACTGCCCCATCCCTATCCGAGGTGCCTCTGAAAGTAGGCGCTTTGGTACCCCTTGCTAAGCAAAGGATACGCCTCCTGACCGTTTCTTTCAGAAGCGATGCCTCGTCTTTTTCCAGTCTTTTGTCAGGGTAAGCCAAGGGAACCAGGACAACCCTTACAAGACCGGAGGTCAATTGGGCAAAAGTCCTTTGATCAGTTATGACTTTCGGCCTTTTGCCCAACTGAGTGTTACTGGCAGGACTGGGTGTGCTATGCTCCGATCTGAGTCGCTTTACCGCCCCAGGAGAAGCTCGCTCCCCCGTCCTTGGAGTAACTGTCGAAACAGATGTCAGTTCCGAGGTGGGCCCGGTATCCGAGAGGCACCGTTAGTGACGTAACCCCCCTTACGCCATGCAGCCCTCAGCACGGTTGCACACACTTTAGCTTGGGGAGGTTCCGCTTTGTCCGGCGCACACGGTTGCCATCTCCTGAGCGAGCGGCCCCCGCGCGCCCCCTCAAGCCCCTCCACCCGCCCCAGCAGCCGGACGAGCCAAGGGGGCCCAGGCTAGTCGGTCACACCCCTGAACGGGTGATATTCTTTCGCCCCGGACCCCCCCCCACCCCATCAGCCGCGGGACTTCGTCAAGGTGGAAACCCATCGGGGGGAATCGACATAGTAAACATAGTAAACAAATTTGTGGATGCTTATTTATCATAATAATTGTTCGAAATGCGTGTGCGTGCGTGCGGTGCGTGTATACAGAGATTAGGTTAGGTTGCACCAGACAATTGCAGATGTGTTTTAATGTGTTAAAATAAATGCTGAAAGTGGCTGCCATTGACTTCCTGACAATATGCTAATCTTTGGTAGAATGTAGAAATGGCTTTACGATTCGTTTCAAAAGGTATCAAAGCCATTTCATCCCTTATTCGCTGTATCAATTCGTTAATGGTTTTAGGTTTTGTTCTGTAAACCTTACTCTTCAGGTATCCCCATAGATAATAATCAAGAGGAGTTAGATCTGGTGACCGAGGTGGCCAATCCTCTCCTCCCTCACGTTCCGACAACTCGCGAGCCATTTTTAAAACGTTTAATTTTAATTAATTGTACGTTGTATTTGGACGATAACAATTAATTTCTGCTTGCTCAAAGCTGCAGTTAGAAGGTGCTCGTTCTTTGATAGCTTTATACATTTTTAGTTGAATGTTAAATGCGAGTTAGACTGCATGTATCGTGCGTCACATAGCGGTAAATAAAGGAACTAACGAGATGTTTTATACACGTTTTATGAAGCAGTTTTTTTGGTAATTTGATTTCAGCGAAATATGAGGATTTGTTGAGGAATCAGATACTTTCGGCAATACAAGCAATAACAGGTGAAAACTTCGATCAGATATGGTTTCAGTTGGGTCTTTGCTTTTGCTGACTGAATCCACGACCGATCTTGTCCTAGTTGGCTGGATCCACGACCGATCTTGCCTTATAGTTGACTGAATCACACACACAACAGATGCAAATCCGAGCGAGTAACCTCCATGTGGTATACCTTGAATAATGTTAAAACCGGCGGTACTCTAACGTTAAACCCTCATAACTCGCAAAGTACGTAATAAAAATGAACATTATTATAGTGCTTTGGAAAGCTCTTGAATTAAGCTATAAGAATATGCAATCAAATGTAGGGGGTGCCATTTAAAAAAATCAACGTGACCTTGACCTGACCTTGACGACGCCATCCAAGGTCAATCTGATAGAATCAGTATGTGGATCTTTTTAAACCCTACGTTTTAATCCACTACTCTAACGAGACCGTGAGGGTCAGGATATACCTTTACTATTCTTCCAAGCTCCTACTTGGTCGGCGGTAGCAACATGTTTCTAATTAGCACCAGATCATCAACCTTCAGGTTAGCCGTTTTCTGACGCCACTTATAACGCTGTTGTAGCGTATGTAGATAATCTCGCGACCATATCCGCCAAAACTGTTCATGCATCCGCTGTACACGTTGCCAACAATTGAGTCGCGACTTCTTTAAGTTTAAGACGGACTCCTCAGGTACTGCGATTAACGAAGTACCTATCAAGAAGTGAGCCGGTGTTAAGGGTGAAAGATCAGAGGGATCATCGGACATGGGAGCGATCGGTCTAGAATTCAAGCAGAATTCTACCTGAGTCAATAATGTGACAAACTCCTCATTTGAAAGCGTATGCGCACCAATTACACGGCGTAAGTGGTGCTTAACGGACTTTACGCCCGCTTCCCACATTCCTCCAAAATGTGGGGCTGAGGGCGGCATAAACCGCCAAGTTATGCCGTCGGAGGCTAAATACGCGACGAGTTCTGAATTACGGGACAGAGCCCTGAACGCATGGCGCAACTCCCTGTCAGCACCCTTAAAATTGGTGCCATTGTCGCTAAATAAGGAGGCAGGAAACTCTCTACAAGAAGCGAATCTTCTGAAAGCGGCTAAAAAACCATCGCTAGTATAATTGTTAGCCAGTTCTAGATGTATGGCCCTGGTGGCCAAACAAACAAATACAACCACATAAGCCTTGTGGGTGCGTTGACCGCGACCCACTGTCGGTAGCACCAGAAAAGGTCCGGCGTAATCCACGCCGGTATGTTGGAATGGGCAGGATGGATTGACTCGAACATCAGGCAGATTACCCATGAGCTGCGGGACCGGTATAGCCCTGTGGCGAACACAGACAACACACCTATGAACGTGAGATTTTACAATGTTTCGAGCATTTAGAAGCCAATATTGTTGGCGTAAAACTCTTAAAGTCAACTGTGTTCCGCCGTATAGCGTGCGACTGTGGGCTTGCGCGACAATAAGATCCGATATACGATGCCCGGGTAAAATAATGGGATGTCTCTCATCGTAAGACAGTGAGGCCTGGGAAAGGCGTCCCCCAACACGTAGGACACCTTTAGAGTCCAAAAACGGATTCAGATTCCTCAACGGACTAGATTTAGACGGGCAGTCATCCCGCTCTATTTCCTGAGTCTCGATCGAAAAGCTGAATCTCTGTACATATATAATCCAGAAGTTCCGAGCTTGCTTGACAACGTCACCCAACTCAGGCGCTATGTTTACTTGTGCGTTATCAACTCGCCTAAGACGTTGTCTAATCCTGTAGAAGAATAAAAGGCAATATGCCGTGATCCGCAAAAGCCTAGGCCAATTAGAGACCTGGTCGGGAAGAGCCCAGTCGCCTGTGCACCGCTGAATTAAGTGAACGGGAACGGTACGTCTCTCCATGTTCCCTTCGGTTCGAAGAGAAGAGGGCTGCTCCGGCCAGAGTGTGGAAGTTGACCGTAACCATGGAGGCCCAGTCCACCACCGAGAATGCGATTTTAGTTCTTGAACGCTGATGCCGCGCGACGCGCAGTCCGCGGGGTTATCCTTTGACCCGACAAATAACCACTGAGCTTGCGGCAGGCTCGTCTGGATCTCTGACACCCTATTAGAGACAAAAGTTTTCCAGGTAGTAGGATGTTGCCTAACCCAAGCAAGAGTTATCATTGAGTCTGACCAGCAGTACACTGGAACTAAGTTTAATTTAAGGATATTTATCACATATTTAAGAAAACGAGCTAATAAGGTTGCTGCACACAGTTCTAGCCTAGGCACGCTAATAGTTTTAACAGGAGCTACCTTAGATTTGCAGGCCAGTAGAGTCACTTCAAAACTATTTAAAAAATGAATTACACGAATATATATAACAGCCGCATAGGCCCGGATGGAGGCATCTGCAAACCCATGTAATTCGATACCGAGATCGGAAGCGCTTTGGTTCGTTCACCGTGGGATCGAGATGTCTTTGAGCTCGGTCAAGCTACGAGAATACTCATGCCATCGCGTCACGAAATCACTTGAGAGCGGAGTATCCCAATCGAATTTTCGCAGCCACAGTTCCTGCATGAAAATCTTTGCCGTAATCACCACAGGGGCAATCCAACCCAGTGGATCAAAGAATCGTGAAATAGCGGATAGCACGTCGCGTTTGGAAGTTACTGAAAGCTCCGGAATTCGAATACTAAAGTGGAATCGATCTAAGGTAGGACTCCAAGAAATACCTAAAACCTTTAAAGAGGAATCCTCAGCAAATTCAATGCTATTGCCGTCCAGACGATCACACAACGGTACTTCAGCTAATAGTTCATCATAATTTGACGTCCACTTACGGAGGTGAAAACCTCCCTTTTCTAACAGACTGTTGAACTGTTGACGAGTGGCTTGTATGGTAAGCACATTATCTCCCCCAAACAACACATCATCTACGTAGATGGAATTGTCGAGTACAGACACAGCTAACGGGAATGCAGATCCCTCGTCCTCACATAGTTGTCGTAAGACACGCATGGATAAATAAGGCGCTGAAGCCGTGCCATACGTGACGGTGAGTAAACGATAATGAGCAACCGGTTCATCCGGGTGAGGGCGCCATAATATCCTTTGAAAGTCAGTGTCTATCGGATGAACCATGATCTGTCTGAACATTTTAGCGATGTCAGCAACGAGAACTAAGCGATGAGTTCGCCAGCGCATAATAATAAATAAAAGATCCGTTTGCAACTTGGGACCTGTTAGCAGCAGATCATTTAACAAAATCCCATTGTCCATAGGACTCGAGGCGTTGAATACAACCCGTATTGGAGACGTACTGCTACTTGCCTTCACCACTGGATGGTGAGGCAGATAGAATGAGTTTTTATTAATAACCTCTCTCTGGGGAACACGGGCCATATGACCCATCTGTTCATATTCCAAAATAAAGTTACAATAACTTGCAGCCAAGTCAATATTACGCTCTAAACGCCGCTCTAACTTGTCGAAAGCGCCAGAAGCGACGTGAAGCGAACGACCGACCTTGGTTATGTGATCCGTTCGAAAAGGTAAGCAAACAAGATAACGTCCACTAGGTAACCTTGAATGAGTAGATGCGAAATGCGTTTTGCACTCGACCTCCTCTTCAGTGAGGGAACTAGCAGCAGAGACTTCCTCTATCTCCCAAAACTGCTTTAGTAATGCGTCTGTACTAGGAGAGATAGAGCAGTGTAACGAAGGCAGTGAACGAGGAGTGCCTGAAGGCTCGTCGTTGAACGGACCGAGGACAACCCATCCAAATATGGTACGTTGCGCAATGGGACCAGGGCTCTGTCCTTGGCGTAGTCCGTCTAGCACAATGGAACCATAACTGTCAGCTCCGATCAATAGATCGATTGGTTCACCACCGAACGGATCGGGATCCGCGAATTGTAAGTTCTGCAAATGAGGATACGTAAACAGATTAACAGTACGCTTAGGCGTATACGAAGTTAATATAGGAAGGATGAATGCTGTCACTGTAACCGTAGCGCTCGTAGCCGAGCTTGCGCTCAGATAGAGTTTAACTGCATGATGAGAGACTCCAGTTGATCGGTCACCTATGCCAGTGATCTTGACATATACCTTACTACGTTTTGCCTTCAAAACTTGGACGGCCCTTTCAGTTATAAACGTAGCCTCCGAGCCTGTATCAATCAATGCTCGAATGTTTAAACAACGAGCCTCGTTACTACTTACAGAGATTCGAGCAGTGGCTTGCAATACGACATCAGTGATTGGAGGAATGTGGGAAGGGCCAGGAGCAGCTAACGTGGCTAAAAGGCTGGCTTTTGAAGGCATGGTATTTACAGCATTTATATTTGATACAACCTTTGTAGCAGAAATATCGATCTGCGTTGGCCCACCGCTATTATCATCTTCGTGCAGAAGCGTGTGGTGTTTGCGTTGGCAGCGTGCACAGCGTCCTCGAGATTTACAATCGCGTGGATAGTGTCCTTTGATCAGGCAATTGTAACAGCAACGATGCTGTCGTACGACATTCTTTCTTTGCTCTGTGGATAATGACTTGAATTGAATACACTGATACAAAGAATGTGATTCTGAGCAATATAAACATTTAACATTTGAGACGGATGAAGTCAATGATTTGGTGATTACTGAACGATTTATTCTAATATTTGAACTGCGAGAGTCGCCAGCCGCGGTCAGAGCCAGCATTCTACCAACCAGAAACGTGCTTAGCTCGCTAAATGAAGCTGGTTCTCGCTTATTGCCCAAACTGATTTCCCACTCAGTACGTGTATGGACATCTAATTTCTTAGATAGGATAGCAACCACAAAATCATCGACGCTAATTTTACCAAGACTACGCAACGCAAGGACGGCATCATTAATCATATCATGCACGCGCTTCAACTCGGAGACGGAATCTGTCTTCATCGGAGTAGCGTCCAAGATAGTGTTAAAGTGAGAAGCAACAATCGCGCGGTGTTTTTATAGCGATCCTTTACTGCTTCCCATGCTAATGTGTAATTCGCGTCAGTAACTGTGATATTTTTAATAACGACGCGAGCTTTGCCCGTTAGACTTGTTTTTAAATAGTGTAAACGCTGCACATTTGTAAGACCTTCATTGTTTATTACGAGTGACTCGAAAATGTCACAAAAGCTCACCCACTCAGTATACTGACCGGAGAATTTAGGGAGATCGATCCGCGGCAACGGAATTGAGCCTGATGGGCTTGAACTTAAATCTAGAGTACTACTAGCAATCACACGACCGCTATTTTTTGTCAGTCTCTCTAAGACTTCGCTGAGATAATCCGTTGCCTGCTGGAATTGCTTGTCCTTGAAATATGTCAGGCCCCCTCGATCCGTGGGTTTAACCGCCGCCTTAATATCTGCATGGAGATTCTGACCTTGACACCACAGCTTTTCCAGAATAGACATCCGGTTCCGCGTGACTGCTGTTGTAAAATTGCCTTGCCCGAGCTTCTTGAAGTTGTCGACCGTCCTCGAAATCTGGTAGATTACGTCCGCTTGCTCCTCTAATAACCGCTCCATTATACTGGCGGGAATATAAGCAGGTAAATGCTTCTATCACACGAATACGTGTAAATATTTTCGGCCTTGGAATTCCTGAGAGACACGCTGGTGCGCACTTGCTGAGTTCGTTGATCACGTGCGTGTCACTCAACGCAATCCTTGAACTCGTAGAGAAGGCCACGTGATTCTCAGAGCACGTTCACATCTGTACACTTCGCTGATTGCGAATACGCCGAAGCAGATGCACAGCACTGACTGAGGTCTATGTAGAGTGCCCTTTATACACGCGTAAATTATCAAAAGTCTTGAGGGAAGCGTTGGAATACGCTTACCGAATTCGCCGATCACGTGAGCAGCACGCAGCGCGGTTCACGCACCGGTCTGTAGAATCACGTGATTACCGCCTGTAGAACGCGGAATGTTTAAAAATGCATCAATCAGATGCAGTGTACCGAACCAGAGTCCACGTGCAATGTGTTTAACACGCAGGATTGTCGAAGGGCAATGCACCATGACCGCACGGAGCACGTGTGAACGTAGCGAGTTTGACTCGCATGCGAAATTCAGCAATCACGTGAACACTTACGGTATACGCTGTAGTGATAACTGCCCGAAAGCTCGGTAAATACACTCGGAATGCTGTCCACAATTAGTCCGATTCCCCCGGATCCGGCTCGAAGGACCAAAATTTTATGTTAAGCACTCGATTAACTCCGAGTGTAAGAGTTGTGGTGAGAATGGATAGGGAGATATCGGAGCAGGAATCAACGCATTCTTGTCACTTTAACACACGAGGTTTATTGAAAATACATTTTTACTTTAAGCACAGTCCTTATGGAGTAGGGACTCTCCTCTTTATACAGACAAACACGGTCGTAGATTCGAAGGAACGTCAATACTAGTTTGACTAGACAAAACGTGAACCGGCAGACATGGCCGTAGGAATCGTAGTAGTTATACGCGTGGTTTTCGCTCTAGACCGCCGGAGGTCCCCCCCCCAAAAAAAGTGCTAGCGCCGGACCTCTCCCATCAGGTGGTGCCCTCACACGATAGCAGATCGATACACAGGTCACTCGCTCACCTTTAACGGGTGATCGCGGCGGAAGTACCCACCTTGCTTCCCAAACAATATATAATAATTATATTTAATAATTATATATAATCATATATAATTATAAATGTATATAATAAAAGAAAAACATGTCTGATATACTATACAAAAAAAAAGTTTTTCTCGGTTTTGAACCCTAGTTCGCACGGTGGTAATCCCACGCTCTAAATTGACGCCACGGGATTCATGTTATCAATATAGATTTTTATGAGATATTTGAATTAAAAAGAAATAATTTTTAGAAAAAATATTATTCATTTACTTATTTCAAAAAGATAAGATACAAAATAAAACTACTTTTATCTTTTGGAAATAAGTGGATGGTTTATATATTTTTTTATGTAAAGAAACGTAAAACTATTTGTAGTATTATTGGTGCTATATACGATTTATGATATCAATATGGGGTTTTATTAGCTATTTAAATTTAAAAAAATTTTTTAGAAAAAATATTATTCATCCACTTATTTCAAAAAGATAAAAGTAGTTTTATTTTGTATTCTTTTTGAAATAAGTGGACGAATTTTTTCTAAAAAATATTTCTTTTTAATTCAAATATAAAAATCCATATTGATATCATAAAACGTATATAGCGCCAATAATACTATAAATTATTTTACGTTTCGTCACATAGAACAAATATATAAACCATCCACTTATTTCAAAAAGATAAAAGTAGTTTTGTTTTTTATTTTATCTTTTTGAAATAAGTGGATGAATAATATTTTTACTAAAACATTTTTCTTTAATTCAAATATCTCATGAAAATCCATATTGATACAAGAGTCCTGTGGCGCCAATTTAGAGCGTGGGCATACTGCCTTTTTCGCATGATACGATGGCCGTCGTTGCCAGCGGACGCGAGGATGATGATGGCGATAAATGTCGCTCTCCCCCCCCCTGCACCGCCGCAGCACCAGGATATATAATTATTCAGCATTGCCCGACAGCACCAGGTTAATAATCCCCGCACAGGGCCCAGGACTTAAATTTTTGCAATTTTTTGAATAAAATAATTTATTCATGAAACTAAAATTATAACAAGAATATGTAATAAGAATATTTTTAAATTGATCTGTGTATTGGTTTAATTTATCGTCATCGAAGAGGAAAGAAGGAAAATCTCCGATTACGTTTATTTGTCAATTATAATTAAAAATATTCGAAAAATCATATGCTTTTGTTTTGTAATTGTCAATCTAATCTTTGATTGACTTTGCACGATAAGAAAATTAGTTATATTTTACAATTTTACATTATAAATGTTGATAAAAATTCAAGTTGTGAACTTTGACTTCGGAATCGAGCAAATTCAATCGAAGATAGTATCGACAATTTATCATTTGATCGAATATCTGATTGATAAGAAATAAACATAATCGGAGATTTTCCTTTTTTTCCCCTTTAATGACGCGATAAATTGAACCAATATATTGATCAATTTAAAAAAATTATTCTTATTAGTTTCATGAATAATTATTTTATTCATAAAATAGATTGCAAAAATAAAATCTTGAGCTTTTTTGTACGTGGATATCATTCTAATGCTACAGGCAGTGTAGGTACATTTGAAAATCTATATTTATAATTGTGCAAAAAATATATATATATATATAATTTTATCTTCATATATATATATATATATATATATACATATCTATCTATCAATCTATCTATTTAGGTATTTGTCTATTCAACTATCTATCGATCTCCCTATCGATCTATCTATCTATCTATCTATCTGTCTCTGTTTCTCTGTCTTTTTGTATTCCTCTCTGTCTCTGTCTCTTCTCTCTCAACATGCACACGTAAAAATAAAAATTTTGTATGATTATAATTGATTATAAAGTTTTAGTAGATAATTTGTAATAAATAAAAATTATTTTTATGAAAATATTTTATAATACTATTATAATCGAAACAGAGCAGTAGTTAGATAAGATATTGAAAGGAATAATTTTATTTGATTATATAGATATTGCATATATACAAGATGTTTTCGTAAAAGTGAATAATTTTTCATGGACATATAGAATCCGTTTTTATACAAGTATCGCGATGCGTTATAAAAAAATTTTATAGGAACTTACAAGATTATTTTTATCCGTTTTATGTCTACTTGAGATAGCCTGCTTTTATAAAAATTATAAATGTTTATTGTGCGCATATAGTAGACAAATATAAATAAATATATAAATTTTATATATACATATAAATACTCACAATATCTATATAATCAAAAATAAAATCTATCTCTTTCAATACAATCTTATCTAACTACTGCTCTATTCGATAATGATAATATTATTATCTGCTCAATTTCGAAAATACTTTCATATAAATCATTATTTATTACAAAGAATTATGTACTTTATAATCAATTATAATTATTATAGATCGGTCTCTCTTTTTATATATATATACAGGGTGTCCTGCAACGTAATGTCCACAGTGAAATTTTATTTTCTTGGGATCATTCTAACAATAAGTCAAAAAGTACACGTATGCCCTAAAGTCGATTACAGCGAAAAGACGAAATTGCATATAATAAGATAAATATTATTTATTGAAGATAATTTCATTTATTGAACAATAATATTATAGAATTACTTTATAAACTGTGCGATAATATAGATCATAAAGGTGTTTTTCTCGCACTTGTGCGGTAAAATAAGGCATACATTGAATCGTTGAGAAATTCATCTTTCGCACGCTAAACAGCAATCGAAATTGGAACTTTCGTTACTGGTATTACAAAAAAAATTACATGTGTTATCATAGTAAAAAAATGAATAATAAATAAATGTATAAATAATAAAAATTAATGTTTGTAATAATAATTAAAATTATTTTTAATTATTATTTACACATTTATTTATTATTTATTTTTTACTATGACAACGCATATAATTATTTTTTGTAATGCCAGTCACGAAAATTCAAATTTTGATTGCTGTTTAGCGTGCTGAAGATGAATTTCTCAACGATTCAATGTATGCCTTATTTTACCGCACAAGTTCGAGAAAAACACCTTTATGATCTATATTATCGCACAGTTTATAAAGTAATTCTATAATATTATTGTTCAATAAATAAAATTATTATCTTCAATAAATAATATTTATCTTATTATATGCAATTTCGTCTTTTCTCTGTAATCGACTTTAGGGCATACGTGTACTTTTTGACTTAGAATGATCGCAAGAATATAAAGTTTCACTGTAGACATTACGTTGCAGGACACCCTGTATATATATACACATATATATTAGAGTGTAAAAATATCTATCTATCTATCTATCTATATATATATATATATATATATATATATATATATTTGAAATATATACACATACCTATTGATTTATTTAGTGTAATATGTTTATCTATCGAACTATCTATCATCTATCGATCAACCTATCTATCTATCTATCTATCTATTGATCGATCTATCTATCTCTTCTCTCTTTTCTACATTGCATTCTTTTATATATGTACACGTATATAATAATTTTTTAAAAATATTGTACATTACAAAAGTAAAAATAATTAAATTTATAATCTAATAATATATAAAAATCTTTTATGAATATGAATCAGATACTTTCGGCAATACAAGCAATAACAGGTGAAAACTTCGATCAGATATGGTTTCAGTTGGGTCTTTGCTTTTGCTGACTGGATCCACGACCGATCTTGTCCTAGTTGGCTGGATCCTCGACCGATTTTGCCTTATAGTTGACTGGATCACACACACAACAGATGCAAATCCGAGCGAGTAACCTCCATGTAGTATACCTTGAATAATGTTAAAACCGGCGGTACTCTAACGTTAAACCCTCATAACTCGCAAAGTACGTAATAAAAATGAACATTATTATAGTGCTTTGGAAAGCTCTTGAATTAA